ATTTGTTGGTCGCAGTCGGCCTCAGAAATAAGTACTGAAATATAAAAATTAAAAAAATAAAAACACTTAATGCAAAAACTTTTATCGGTAAATCAAATAACCGTCTACCATTCGTCCATGCTTTTAATATTGCTGCCACATAAGCTATTTATCTAGAGCTCCTTGATAAAATCCAAAGAATCAGCAATATTATCGGTCCTGATCTGGCGACTCGGCTTCAGTCATTTCCCATTGTCGTAAAATTGCCCCCCCCTGTAGCTTTTCTATAAATACTTTCATGATAATTGTTAGGATGAGTTGTTCGTTATGGTACTGAGAAATTTTTAAAAAAAAACAAATAAGCCAGAACTAGACTGTAGTTGAGACATAACTTACGAAAAGCAAACCTGGGCGTTTTGGCTGTAGAGGTCCTTACAGAAAGACAAGGCACAATTACCCTCTTAAAGAAACTCTTGCTGGAACTCTTCAAAGTCTATATCTGTTAACTTACATTTTTATAGCCGAAACGTAAACAAAGTAATTAATTCAGTAATCACATTTATTTTGTGGGATGGCAGAAAAAGAAAAAAGAGAGATGGTAAAATGTCAAAAGTTACAGGTGTTATACTGGAACACACCTATTCTATAGTTAATAGACTCTCCCACCTATAATAAGTAGGAGTAGTAGTAGCAGTCGACAGTGAGTTGGTCAGTCAGTCGATGTCGGAAGACCGTTAGTCGGATACTAAAGTATCAGCGACCACAACTAGATTTCTCTGCGTCATTACCTATTATATCAAGTTCCTAACGTTTTGTACGTCGAACCTATTTTAGGACCGACTTAGTACAAATACAAGCCTCCACTGTGAAACCACTACATAACAACTTTGGCGACGAGGGATTCGAACTCATACGGAGGAAGAAAAACCTTTCGTACACTAAAGCACTAGAGGGAAAAAAAACCTTATTAGAACAGTTCCAGTTACTAGAAAAATAGAGAGAATCCACGTCATGTCGGTGACTGAAGTCGAGATGCTTGGTTATGATTATATTACAGACCCTTCTTTGATTTTTTTCAAGAATCTCGCAATGTACATCAAGAGCACCAGACCAGATATATCTATACTCAGCAGTATTCCGTGCCTGTACGAATGATAGATTTATTAATGTGCAAGAGGGATTCTGACGGGAAAGTTTTCTGGTACGACACAATGAACCATCTTCCTAGCAATTGATTCGATATATTCGCCCCACTTCATGTCAGTGGCAAACATGAGCCCAAGAAGTCGTAGAGTGTTGCCCTGCTGAAGTTTAGTATGAGTCATGCTGATAGCTTCTCTGTGATGATTAACTGAAAGCAGTTTCGTTTTGGAGGCGTTAAAATTTACAAGCCATTTCTTGACTCAGTTAACCACTGATTGGAGGTCCTTGTCTAGAGTAATTTCCCGGTTTACTTTGTCGGGTCTATTGGGCTTGCAACTTAAACTTTAGTAAATGGCTGTGTCATCTTCATAAATACCTAGTTAGAAACTGATGACATCGGGGAGATCATTGATGAAAATTAGAAACAGCGTAGTCCCAAGGATAGACCCCCCCACCGCACATTAGTAGGAAATGATTTGGAAGCATGCTCATTCAACACAAACTTAATTACACGATTTATTAAAAATGTTTAGGTTTAGCCAAATATTTCTCCCGTGACGTCTAACTCTTGAGCTTTCGTAGAAGGTCAGCGCACCAAATCCTATCAAACGCATTTGTGATATCTAGAATCTCAGAGATAGAATGTGGCCCATGGTCAGTTTAACGTGGGGCACCCGTACGCATAGATGTTGGCCAAAGACATAACTTGCCCAATCTCAGTGACCACTGTAGCAATGGCGTCGACATCTTCCCACAATCATTAGTGCAATGAGAGAATTGTAAAGCCACTGCTTTGAAGACAAAAACGTGGAAGAAGAGAAGATTATATACATCTTGATTTGTCATGAAGCTTATAAGCATGTCAAAGTTCAGATGAGTCCAATAATTAAGCATACTTGAAGAATGAAGTGAAGCTTAAATCTTTTGATACGACATTCTGGGAAATGTCATGCAGTTGGCTGTACATGAGGATTTTCGGTGTCCTTTCGTCACTTATGGACACATGTCCAACCCAGTAAAGAAGTTATTTTTGCCTATCCTATCTTTTGGTCATATAATATATAACGAAAGTGGATATATATATATATATATATATATATATATATATATTTAGTATTTAAATTTAGTGGAAAGTGCTCAATATCCGTGATAGAACTAACATATTCAGTAGCATGGGTAATTGTTTGTAAGCCCGGGTTTCTTGTTTTCGCAGTCTTCAGACAAACTGGTTTATTTTTTTTAAAAGTGGATCTATTTATGCTTTATTTGTGTTTGATTATTTGCGTGTGGTGGCACACTTTAAAAAATAAACCAGTTTGTCTAAAGATCGCGAAAGCATGAAACCCGAGATTACAAACTACTATGCATGCAACCGTATATATATATATATATATATATATATATATATATATGAAAGAGAGAGAGAGAGATTTGTGTACGTGTGTTTGCGTAAAAATTAGAGACAGAGTATATATGTAAAAGGTCAATATGAATAAAGACAAAAAGAAAATCTTAGTCAACGCGTTTCGTTTTCTTTGATAAAATGACATAGAGGACGAAACGCATAGGCTAAGATAAGTCTTCATTTTGTCTCTCTCTCTCTCTCTCTATATATATATATATATATATATATATATACACACACACACACATAGTGTACAATAGGTAAATTGTCGCCATTTTATATTTTAATTTCGCGCATGCGCGTTGTTTGTTCTTGATTTTATCGACTGCGTATTATAGTTAGATCAGTTGGGCACTGTCTGTAAGAAAAAGAATACCATGAAACAAATCAATCCGCTAGAAATTTTGAAACGACATGCTGTACTGATTGCAATTCGCTCCGGAAGCTCTAATACCAACGTTTCAGAGTGTTTGGCTGTCATTCTAGGGACAATGCAGAGGATCTGGAATGAGTTGGATGAGTCTGATGGTGATTACGAAGGTACGGCAGCTCGGAAAAATCACTCTGATCGTTATGATAAGAAAAGAACTCCCGAATTTCTCGGTAAGGGCCTTTAATTCAACATGGCTGACTACATCAAGTGCCTTGAGGAGGTAGTGTTTCCCTGGGTCAAGAGGGTGGCTGATGGAAGTCCCTATGTCTGGCAACATGACTCTGCACCATGAAATGCAAGCAGGAGAACCCAGTCATGGATGACAATTTCTGCGACATCACCCTTTATATCTGGCCACCTAACTCCCCAGACTGCAACCCCCTTGATTACTATGTGTGGGGTGCAGTTGAGCGAGAGATCAACAAAACTCCTTGTAACACCAAAGATGAACTGAATGCAAGGATTATGGCAGCATTTACCAACTTAAACAAGAAGGCCGCCCAGAAGATTTGCAGAAGTTTCCGAAGTCGTCTGGAGGTCGTGATTGAAGCGAATGGCAATTTTATTGAATAAATTTACTCTTTAGTATTTCAAAATATTTTTGTGTAATTTTGGTAAATATATCTATTAAAATGAGATGTCAGTGTTATTTTCATTTTTGGTTAATTAAGACGACAATTTATTCATCGCACCCTGTATGTGTGTGTGTATGTGTTTCTGTGTGTAAAAATTAAAATAAAAAATAAAATATATCTATAAATGTCAACATAACAAAATATCATCTTTGATGGTGAATATCTTTGTTTAAATGTTCATATAACCATTCTGAAGATGGCTCATGTGAGCCGAAATCTTAGCTCAAAGAACAGCATAATAAAAAAATATCCAAATGTTGGACAATTTTTGTCTTTATTTTCTCCCGAAATTAAAGCAACAATAGAAGCTTAGAACGGCTCATGATCAAACATAGTAGACATTCGTTGTCTATTACACACACACACACACACACACACACACACACACACACATATATATATATATATATATATATATATATATATATATATATATATATATATATATGTCCAATGATATCGTCTAATGAAACAGCCTGTCGCCTCTTAGTGTTGACTTCAATGTTCACTTTTATATTTACATACGCTCTATCTCTGATATTGAGCACTTTATCCCATAAATATAGTACACTTTAAGACTATATTTCTTCATATATATATATATATATATATATATATATATATATATATATATATAGAGAGAGAGAGAGAGAGGAGAGGAGAGAGTTCTGCTTTACACACACACACACAGACACACACACACACACACACACATATATATATATATATATATATATATATATATATATATATATATGCATTGTCACCAAATGCAATTGTTACTTACGCTTCTTCTTCATAATATTTCGGAGGTGCAACTGCAATAATAAATTTGACCAGTTCCTGGTAAAGAGAAGATCATAATTATATGGAGGCAGCAAGTCTTTAAGAACATAATTTTAACAATTCATAAAGAAACGATGACCTCGCATAATACTACAGAGCAGATACCAAAATTTAACATTTTGTTTTCACTTTCCGACATTATTCATCCAATAGATGTCCCAAGAGTAGATGTTTAGTCAATGGGGTTGTTGCTTGACGAAGAGGAGAAGGTAAGAAGTGAAGATTATGAGGATATGTATGATAGATAATGGTTGATACTAGACTTGAAGAAGTTAAGATTGTAGCGATCAGGGAAGCATCCCCTCGGGAGTCTGAATGACGTTGTTGTATGAACGTAAGAGCAGGGGGAAAGAAGGGTAGATTATGATGATATTTAGGATAGATAACGGCTGACCCTAGACTTGAAGAGATTAATGTTGTAGTGATCAGGGAAGCATCCTCTCGGGAGTACGAATGACGTTGTTGTATAAACGTAAGAGGATGGGGTAAGAAGTGCAGATCATGAGGCTATGGGACTGGAAGTGACAGAAAATGGACAAATATTAATAAGAACTACAGTGGATAGGAAGTTGTGAAGAGCTATGATCACCCACGACTTGAAGGGATATGGCATATAAAAAAACAAAAACAAAAAACCGGTATGGGTGGGAATATTTTACTCACTCCTGTCTTTTTTTCTGCAAGATCCAGGACATTTTCCGCTTGAATCAAGGAGACATCAATCAGTTTGATGTTGTCAGCCATCATCAGTTGATCTCCAACGTGAATACCCCCTGTGGAAAGAAAAGATGTTAATTTTATGTTTCTTTTTTTTTTTTTAATTTCAAAATGGACTGAAAATATTTTTGAAGAAAAACTAGTGTAAATAAGTTTATTGCATAAAACCACTATTCCTTACAAGCTGGGTGTACGTTAAAATGTAAAAGAGAATTCTTTACGTATAGATTGGAAAATTCTGTTGAGGATCAAAGGAGGGGTACTCTCCGCCGAACATTAAAATATCACGCATCGTCTCGGGATTAGTGTCATATTCACACACACACACACACACACACACACACACACACACATATATATATATATATATATATATATATACAAGCAGTATAACTCGTCTTCGACTGGATGTTTCATTACTGGAAATTTGTGCCGTTCATTTGAAGCAGTTTAAGTTTAAAGTCAGCCCACCGGAAAATAAATATTAGTAACAACAAGTGGGTACAACTGAGGCACATCCCCAAATGGTGTGTGTGTGTGTGTGTGTGTGTGTGTGTGTGTGTGGTGGGGTGGGGTTAACAATTTGAATGGGTGGAGTGGCCCATTTCGGTAGGCTGCAATATGCTGTTGAGCAAAATGAAGGATGTAGGTGCAAGTAGACTGATCAATATTTGCAAACAGAAACGTCGGAAAATGTTAATTATTTGGCCCTGTTTCACACGGTCATCTTCTTACCTTGTCTGGCAGCAGCCCCGTCAAATATGGCTGCAACATTGATCCTCCCATCAAGGGGACTGTTCAGTCCGCCTTCAACTTCAATGCCCAGTGGTCCATTCTAGAAGAATAAAAAAAATAAAATAAAAGCCACTTAGAAGAATTTCCGGGCGATTTGATTTGGTTGATTCTTTTTCTACGGCTTATCAAGTATTTGCAGGTTATTTAACTATTTTTATAAAAATAGATAAAATACTAAATAGATAAATAAATAAAATACATAATAAATGTTGAATAATAAATAATATTGAATAATAATAATTGTTGAATAAATGTTGAATAATAAATAATGTTTGAATGTTGAATAATATATTGAATAATATATTCAACTAAATGTTGAATAATAAAAATAAATAATAATAAACAATAAATATAAATAATAAAATAAAAAATAAATAGATAAACAAAATAATCAATTAATAGATAAAAACATAAAAATATATTGTATTTGCACTATTTTCCTTATCTTTGTTGTCTTTATCACAACATTTCGGCCATTGTGTATGCCAGCCTTCCTTAGGTGTATATAGATCTGGCTAACCTACAGGGAATTTGAACCCTTTGTTTCATCTATTTTATCCACTATACTGTTTTCACGGAACAAAAAATAAAAATATTTCTAGAACACATAATGAGGAAAAAAGGCTCAGAGAATTTGAGGCCCTCAGAAAATACTGAAGGCAACAGGGGAAAAGAAAAAACCTACGTAGATTGACGGCAAATAAAGAATAGGAGGGATAATAAAAAATGAACCGTTCAGCCTGAAGTTGGGCGACCGGCTGATCGGTTGAACTCTCTTCCTTCTGGAACCCGAACGAGGCTACGCCGAAGAGCGGAGTCTCTTTCGTGGGAGGTAAACCGACCCTGAACCCATTTATACGGGTTCAAAGGGCATATTTTTGGCCGAGCCCACGGGCTCGGAGATCCCATGTTAAACCGGCCTTGTGTCAGGTGATGCCCTCGTGGGGGGTGACTAAATACTGTTCCGTCTGAAGTCTGGAGTGAAGTCCGTCAGGAGTCTGTCAGTCAGTCAGAGCGAGTCAGTCAGTTCAGTCAGAGGCAGTCCGAAACAGAGTCGCGTTCAGACAATTACTACTAAACCTGATTGTTCGTACTAACACTTTTCTACCTCTCTGTATATATTCCTGTTTGTAATATATCTGTGTTCTTCCATATCCGTGTTCGAGTTCTTCTTTATTGGTTCTACCTTGGACTAACACCGTGGTACAAGGAACCGGACCATAACAATTAATAAGAACCAATGAGGCTTTATTCATAACAGATGATTGTAGGAGACACAAGATTAATATTTATAGTGGCGGCTTGAGTTCAGTAACAACATATGGAACTAAGCTTTTATTCTACTACAAGAATGAATACGAAAACGAAGATGTATATATGGTAAATAACAACGGAAAGCTTTTATATATCAGCAATCAAAAAATAAATCATATACAAAACTGTATAAAAGCTTCTGAAGAAATCTAGTTTAGATTTCATAGTTTAAGTTTTGCCTTATGTGAATTGAAAAAAAATTCTATAAGTATGTATATGTGTGAAAGAAAGAATATACAGTGTGTCTATAAATTCCCTTTACAATTTAAAAAAATATATATTACAAAGACAACAGATGGGGCACCCAACTAGATGACCTTCAACCAACCATCATTTTCCAGCAAGATGGTACACCACCACACTGGGGACTTTCTCTGGGGTTAAAGATACGGGACATTACTGATCTAAAGCAAAGATCACTTATGCCATTGCCACCATTGATGAGGCTATGCTACAGCGAATATGGCAAGAAATCGAGTACCGTCTTGATGTACTTCGTGCAACTAATTATCCCCATATAGAAGTGTATTAAATTAGTTAAAATAAACTTCAATATCTCTTCCTCGTTTTGCAGCAATTACCAAGTATTTGTCTGTTCATTTGCTTTGTATTATCTTTTAATTGTAAAGAGACTTTATGGACACCTGTATAAAGATAAGAAAGAAAGGATTAGCTCATATATAGGCGTCAAGATGATGAAAGACAATCAAAAGCAGGCTGTTGTCATTGATGTTTGTATCTTTAGTGGTTGTGAATAGAAGGTCAGCAATAATTATTTGAAGTTGCCGCAGTACTAAGTGGGCCTTTTGTGGCGATTGATTGTGGCGACCACAGACTTTTTCAGTTGTCAATTTCTTTTTTTTTTTTAATTAATTTCGTTTTCTCATCATTCTTGTTCTTGGTATTGTTAAAAACTAAAAACTTTGTTCAAAATTATGTTAGTTGGCTTAAGGTTAACAGAATATTAGTCATTACCGTGAATATTAATATTTTTCCATGGTACAGATCTGGGAATGAAGACACAAGGTTCGATCAATGCCTTAAGAGGGAAACTCGCAAAACGTTCTTTCAGCCATGCACGAATTTTGTACGCTGGACTTTGTCTTTCTTTGAGCGGATGTTGCTCGTGATCAAAAGTTGAGATGTAACTCTCAAACGAATATCAATCCAGTCGATATTTCTATAAGGTTAGGCAGTAAAATTGGCGGAATTTAGGAAATTATAGTTGTTATTGTAATTATTAATTTTGTTGGGAAAACATTGAAATCTCTTTAGGCAGTTGATCGCTCTGTCCGAAATCTATATATCTGTATTATTTATCTATATCTGTACCTCTGTATTTCTGTATATGAGTTAATCATGTTTCAACAATGTATTATTTTCACATTTAAGTTACAAGATCGATTGCATTACAGACCCGACTTTGAGCTTTGTCAAGAATCTCAAGATATATAGCAGAAGCACTAGCACAAGTTCATTTTTCGATCACCATGCCGACCCGGCAAGGCGTGTTACGTCGATAGAGGAACTTTTCATGGACAGTGAGAGCGACGACAGAAAATGGCGACTGGAAAGGAGTTCCACGTGTCAGAGGTGCGAGAAAAGAAACTGTTGTAGAAAAGACAGAGGGAAGCCACGTCACGTCGATGAGAAAGTGACTGAAATCGAGATGCCCAGTCAGGATTGATTATATTACAGATTCTTCTTTGAATTTTGTCAAAAATCTCAAAATATGTAGCAGTAGCACCAGACCAGATGTGGCAACAGTATTCAATGCACGGACGAATGGTAGATTTATAAATGCGCAAAATGGATTCTGACAAGAAAAACTGTCTGGCAAGACACAGTGAACCAATCTTCCTCGAAGTAGATCTAGAAATTGATTCTGTATAATCACTCCACTTCATGTCAGTGGAAAATGTGTGCCAAGGAAGGCGCAATGTGTTGCTCTCTTGGAGTTCAGCATCAGCCATGATGATGGCAGGCAGAAAAGGTTCTCTATAATGATTAACCTTTACGACTCTACAGGCGTACATGTGCGCCGGCTATGCTCTTTCTCAATATTCTTCGGGCGGATATGTTCCTCGAGTGAAAGAGCTTCGTTTCAAAGGGAAAGCACATTTCTAAAATGAACTTCTTACCACAGGAATGACACCATTATGCTTGTGATATGAACTAGGAATGGACAGATGTCAGTCATTTTGTTCCAATTGAAACACTTATTTTATAAGCGAATTTTAATAAAGTATGAAAGGTGTGAGAAAAGAAACTGTTGTAGAAAAGACAGAGGCAAGTCACATCATGTCGCTGAGAAAGTAACTGAAGTCGAGATGCTTGGTCAGGATCGATTATTCTATATGATCAGAACCACTTCATGTCAGTGGAGAAAATTGAGCCCAAGAAGGCGGGAAGTTTTACTCTCCTGGAGTCCGGCATCAGTCATGCTGTTGGCAAACAAAAACGGTTTCTTTGTGGTGATCAAATGAAATTAGTTTTGTTTTCGAGGCGTTGAAATTTACAAGCTATTCCTTGCCTCAGTTACCCACAGATTGGAGGTGCTTTTCGAGAGCAGTTGTCAAGTTTACATTATTGGATCTGTCGGGCTTGCTACTATAACAGGACGTTGATTTAATATTTATCGAAATATCAAGTGTTTAAAGTATTTAGCAAAGCACTCACCATTCTTATTTTGATCAAACGGATTTGTCTTCGAGCGATTTGATCCACACTGAACTGCAAGAAACACAAAAGAGAAAAGGATAAATTCTTTCGTAAACAATTTGCTTCATAATTTTTCAATTTCAATAGTAACTACCTATAAATTCCCTGAAAATAAAAGGTTATTTTAATGTTAATGCATCATATTAATTTTCAAGAATTTAGCAAATTCAACTACATGCCTATATCCAGATATCATTTGATTTTGAAGAGACCATTAGGAAAAGAACTTCCTCGGTACTTTTGAGGTGATATATACAGGTATATCTGTGTACATTTTCAAAGGGACTATTTCGACGCGGATAGTATGCCAAATTCAAATAATGTATGAAATGTAAGAAATGAAGAATAAGCACAGGCTCGACAACATATAAAAGGTCGCCAAACTGTCACCAACACACCAAAGGTCACCAACACCCCAACGGTCGTTAACACACTAAAAGTCGCCAAATAGTCGCCAATACACAAAAGTTCACCAAACTGTCACCAACACACCAAAGGTCGCCAACACACCAACAGTTACCAACACACAAATGTTCACCAAACTGTCACCAAAACACCAAAGGTCACCAACACACCAATGGTCGTTAACACACCAACAGTCGCCAAATAGTCGTTAACACAAAAAAGTTCGCCAAACGGTCACCAAAACACACAAAAGGTCGCTTACATAGCAACGGTCACCAAATAAAAACTTTAAACTAACTCGAATCATACTATGAGCACGTGGCGGTTTACTCTAAGGAGCTTACAGGCGAGTTATCTCCACGACTCTTCGCGAAGGCACGATGTGACATATGATCAGTATATCGTACGCGTACGTATGGGTCAAGGACAAAAAATCGCTCAGTTCTGCGACAACTATTACGTTGGCGTCGGTATTTCACAGACCCCCCCACCTCTTTAGTGAAATGAGGGAGGTGGTGCCGCAGGGTTGGAATCTCTGGGGCCAGGCATCATTTAAAACAGGGTTTCTTAAACTTTTTCTTTCATGACGAGACTTTTTGCGACATGTATTAACCAACTACACTGAAAATATATCCGTTGTCACTGCTCTTGTCAAAATGGCGCCGCACGCGCGTTTAATTACTTCAACGCTTGCGAGGCACGTCACGTTAAATACTGAGCGTTGCGAAATAACATATAAACTGAAATTGAAGTTTTTGAATTTAATTTTCGCAACCCCATCATTTCGGTTTGTGACCCAAAATGGGGTCGCGACCCATATTTTAAGAAACGCTGTTTTAAAGCTACGCCGTGTCCAGTCCGAACGCAGAAATATGGCATTGGGGCAGAGAATATTCATAGCAGACAGAACCTACAAGCGAAGTGAACACATGTCTTGTTCTGGTCTTAAATATAAAGCAAGTCCTTTTTTTTCTGAGCTGATCCTGGGTCCGACATTAAACTATGTCAGGATTTGATGAGTGTGGAATCACCTCTTAATTGTAGTTGTTCCCATGTCCACTTCGATCCGGGGTGGTAGCACCTGTCCCAGCCTTGGACAAATAGTGACCCCACCAAACAAAAAACAAAACATTATGAAAGTATAAAAATACATTTTTATAGTAAAATTAACAGCAGTAACAATTTACAGTAAAATTACCAACATTACACATTTAGTGTAAAATTAGTAATTTTAACTATAAACGAGCAGCATGGCCCGGTGTTGCCTGTGCTTGATTCAAAAATCGTATGACTCATCCAGCAATCGCTATCACTTGACTTAAATTATTTTTGCCCTACCTCGCCTTTAAAGGAGTGCCCTTTGCTGTGCTGATGTTGCTACATGCCTTACTGCTTGCCTATCTCACACATCGAATTTTTCTAAGCTCTAGACTGAACATTAAATCTGTTACGAAAAAAGAACTAAACAAAATGAACACAAAACGATCAGCTTTAAAAAAGGACTCGTAACTGGAAAAACCGAATGAAAAAAGAATGTTAAGAACAAATACTGTTTCACACCCAACCCAGTTCTGTGGAATCAGAATCAACATTGAGTTTAAGCAAGCAAATGAGCCAATTGGAGTAAAGTGCCATGCAGTTTTAAATTTTTCCCACTTGTGATGAATGCAGTTATCGATTTTTTTTGCATGCTAGCTAACAGTCAGCTGTTGGCTCTCACGCTGGCCAATAGAATCTTCCTGCCTATTCATGGCAGCCAGCTATAGGATCTCACTCTGGCCAGTAGAAAATGGCCGCAAACTACATGAAAACTGCCGTAGAAGCATGAAGAAATCGATTATTTCCACTATCGATGGGAGTTGGGAAATGCAAAGTCAGTCATGTGCATGTAAATTTTGGTGCAAATCCGTCGAAAATTGCGGCCGTGCATTCGTTACACACACACACGCACACACACATATCCTGCCTTTTATAGACAGAGATATGCATTGCTGGGCACCAAACCGTTAATCGCTTTAATTAAGGAAGTTAACATTTTCTCCAACGATTCAACCTCCAAGCCAACTTTGAACGCCATCATAGCATCTCAAGAACTTGAATCTGCTGATGTCGTCGAAGTTAAAACTGCCAATGCCACTAAACCTCAGAAAGAACAGGCTTAGAACTTAATGTTAATGGTTTAGCAATGGTAACTTCCGTTACATTTTTAAAGAGCTAACTGATCAGCGGTTAACGAAGTTAACTTTTTGATTAACGGCACCCATCTGTGATAATTCGTCAACTTAAAAGTCAAATCGCCAAAGAAAATGACAACTTCGTTAATCAAAGATTAACGGATTAACGGTTTGGTGCCTGTTGTGGAGTGATTTCACAATGGAGGCTTGTATTTGTACTAAGTCGGTCCTAAAATAGGTTCGACGTACAAAACGTTAGGAACTTGATATAATAGGTATAACGCAGAGTAATCTTGTTATGGTCGCTGATACTTTAGTATTCGACTAATTGTCGTCCGACATCGACTGACTGACCGCCTCACTGAGCGACTCCCACGTTACTCTTACTACTCCTACTTATTATAAGTGGGAGAGTCTATTAACTATAAAATAGGCGTGTTCGACTATAACAGTGCCTAACTCTGAAAATTACCAACAAATTTAAAGCAGAATGAGTCGCAATACATTTTATCTGTAGCTGAATGCATGCAATTGCGTTCAAAATATTTAGATTTCAGCTTTCAATAACTCATAAAGCTGGTGTAACAAAATTAACCAACCAACTTTGTCCAGGCAGCGGATGAATGCCGTCGAATACTTGTCGGCTATTTCCGCCGTCCACCATTATAAGCACAAGCTGATCGTAGCCATTTCCACATGCTAAATAAAAATATTATTTACTTGAGTAATGGTATGCGCTTTTGAACTCTAGTTCGTGAACTGTCTGAAACCAACTAAAATAGGCTGACATAATCATATCGAGTTTTCTTTCACTTAGAATTTTTTCTTGTCTATTTCTTTTTTTTAAATTTCTTCTTTGAACGTCTAATATACTTTGAAATACATATATACTCTGCAATGCTTAATTTTCTTGTTTCGTTGTGTCTAATAACTTTCTGATGGACTTCTAGTGTTTTACTATAAGAGTCAGATTAGTAGGTTAAACTACTTGGCAATCTCTGTTGGGTTAATTAACGTCTCACAAAACAAGAAACAAAATGAATCGTGAAAATAGCAAACATAGGTCTGGTTTACACTAGAGTCAAAAAGTAGGGATAGGTCACTAGATCTGAAAAGGTAGAATCAGGTTCAGTTTATACTAGAGTAAAAATATAGACACCGGTCCAGTTTGTACTAGAGTAAAAAAAGATAGACATAGGTCTGGTTTACACTAGAATAAAAAGGTAAGCATAGGTCTGGTTTACACTAGATTCAAAAAGGTAGCCATAGGTTCGATTTGTACTAGAGTAAAAATAGGTAGATATAGGTTTGGTTTGCACTATAGTAAAAAAAGTTAGGCATGGGTTTGATTTACACAAGAGTAAAAACGATAGATCTAGGTCTGATTTACACTAGAGTAAATCATATAGACATAGGTTTGGTTTACACTAGAGTAAAAAGTTAGGTATAGTTTCGGTTTACACGAGAGTAATAATTAGAGTCAAAATGACAGATAGAGGTCCGGTTTACACTAGAGTAAAAAGGTAGACATAGGTCCGGTTTGCACTAGAGTAAAAAAGTAGGCCTAGGTCCGGTTTGCACTAGAGTAAAAAAGGTAGGCCTAGGATCGGTTTACGCTAAAGTCTAAACGATAGGCATAAGTTTGATTTACATTTGAGTGAAAATGACAGATAGAGGTCCGATTTACACTAGTCAAAATGGAAGGCATATAATGCTTGGTACTCTTTCTGTGACAACTTGTGAAATTCACTGGGTGTGGGATTAACTCTTTCATTAGCTTTCCCGCACATATTGCATTTCCTTTCTTTTTGCAATTTATTATTATTTTGGTAGATCCAGAAGTTATATAGATTGTTGGGTAATTTCTGGAAAAATTTTCTTCAATGTATTCATTAAATAATTCGTAGAAAAATTTGACTTTGCCCTTAAACGAAATTGGACAAAGAATAACAATAAGTTCGTCCACGCATTTTAAGAATTTTCGAGTGTTCTCATTTTAATATATTTGGTGGAATGAAGTCAGTTTTAATCAGAAGGCCACCTTCACCGCATTTCCAGAGAAGAGAATCACCATCAGTTCCTCCCATGACTAACAGGCTAATTGTTATTTGTCATTTTACAATAACAAACGTGTAGGGAAATGAAAAAATAGACAAATAAAATAATGATAATGAATAATAAAAAAGAAATACATTTTCCCTTGAGGCTAAAGGAACAAGAAATATGATTACCTCACTTGTTTTTTTTTTAAAGCAGTTAGGTGGCGCTGTTGAAGTCTATAAAAAAAGGCAAACATTTTTTTTTAAGCATTACGCCCCGAGCAAGGCGTGAAGCCACTAGGATGCAGGGGGTTGCAGAAGATTTGGAGCGAGAGCAGATAGGAGTGATAGAAGAAAGGATGAGGAGAAGGATAATGGGTAGATCAAGGTAACT